ATTACAAAGAACGCCGCGAGTCAACGCGGCGACGGCGGCGGCGACGCGGCGCTTTGAACCCGTCGTGGACGACTCGTAGCGCCACCGCGCGGCGGTCACTAATAAAAACTGCACTGAACAACTGAACGAAAGCCGTCTCGCGTATATCGCGATGCGTGGGCTATTTTATGTACTTGGGCATGGGTCAGTGTTTGCCGACCGATAGTAGTTTTACGCCACCAGCAAGGCGGCGAGAGCGATGAACGCGGTCACGAAGAGACGATGGAGACCGGCCGCGGACTTGGGCGGGGTCGCGGGCGGCGGCGGCGGGGTCGGAGCGCCCGCCGCGCGGAGAGCGAGACGTTCGCCGTAGCTCTGCGTGTAGAGCGTGTAGTCGTCGTCGTACTTTTCACCGGTGCAACCATAAAAGACGTAGCACTCTTTATCGGCGACGTCGTACGCCCAGTGGGTGCAGTACGCCTCGGAGTTGATGCTCGTGAACGTGTGGTTGGCGCACTTGTATTCGCACATCGCTTCGGAGCATTGTTGCGCTGGAGTGTCGTCCACGCATACCTTTTCGTGAGTGGTGAGATCCTTATCGCAGCGACGTTGGTTGCAACCGCCGGCTGTCTTGTTCTTTCCGCACGTCGGATCGATGAGAACGTACGTGCTGTAATCATCGTCGTGCTTCTCATTTTCACAAGTTTCGAAAAGGTAGCACTCTTTCTCAGCGACGTCATATGCATACGTCGTACACGTAAAGTCCGTGTGCTGTTGGCACTTGGCTTTGCATTCGGCGAGGGTACAATCAGTCGTGCCTGGAGTGTCATCCGTGCAGATTTTGTTGTGCGTCGAGATATCCTTGTCGCATCGTCGTTGCTCGCAGCCGAGCGGGTAGTCTTCGATGGTTCGCTCGCACGTTTTGTCTTGCATGGTGTACGTGGTGTAGTCCAAATCGAACTTGGCGTTGGTACAGCCCGCAAAGATGTAGCACTCTTTTTCAGCTACATCGTACGCCCAGTGCGTGCACGTTTGGCCAACGTTGGAACCGGAGAACGCACTGCTGTTACACTTTTGCATGCACTCAGCTTCCGTGCAGTCGGTGACGCCTGGAGTGTCGTCGGTGCAGATTTTCGTGTGCGTGGTCAAGTCCTTGTCGCATCGCGTCCACGGACATCCGCCTTCAGCCTTCGTCCGTTCGCAGTTCGATTCTGAAACTTTAACCTTCGCGCACGTGGACATGAGTTCGCTCGTCGTGTTGAGCGCGTCGGTGCACGTCGGATCCGCTTGGTACACGCGCGCCTCGTTGGTTTCGCCGACGACGAGCATCATGATTTTTCCCGACGTCGCGTTCTTCCAAAACGTAAGACCTTCGGGTTGTCCCATGGTGCACACTTCGCCGCCAAAGCGCTCGGTGAAAGTACCCGACGTGATGTTGTAACGCCAAATACTCTTCTGTCCATTGTATACTTCTCCACCACGACCGGTGGCGTTGTAGTTCTTCACGACGAGGAATAGTTCATCCGTCGCGTCGCCACCGCGTGTCATACCGCCGACGGACGCAATTTGCGGAAACGCCAGTTTCAAGTCGCCAGTCAAGGCGGTGTAATCCCCACCTGCGGTTAATGGGTGCGACCAAATCTTCGACGGGTTCGCTTCTTGAACGGTGTAAAACTTATCACCCGGCATGTACACGACGCCCTCGAAACCGAGGTTGTTGCCTGCCGCGGAACCGGACGGGAGGCCCGCTTTAATGGTGACGTTGTTCGTCACGGTACCGTCCGCGTTGAGCGTCGCGGTGTAAACCGTGGCGGGATTTTCCGTCGTAAACGCAAACTTACGAGTGCCCATGGCAGAGATACCTTCGAGATCAGCCGAGGTTGTCGCCACGTCGTACGACTTCACGAGCGTGTTCGGGTACGTGAGCTCGTAGATGATGCGGTCACCGTTGTTCACGGCGAAGAGCGTCTCAGTCTCGGGATTCCACGTGATCCCAGAGAGATCACTCGCCACGACAGTCATATCGTATTTAAGCACTGCGGACGTGCCGAAGCATTTGAACGGCGGCACGGTGAAACCTTCGCTACCAATGCTGGTCGGCGCAGCGCGCGCGCCTGCAAAGCTCATCGCCGCAACGATGGCCACCGTCGCGCGGGACCCTCTTCGTGAACGTTCCGTGCGAGCAACCATGTTGGATGAATCCCGTCGCGTCCTCCGCGTGGTCGTCTGACGCGCGCACCACGCCTTCGCGTCATCCCCCTCGCTCGCTTCCCGCCAATTTTCATGAAAAGAAGAATATTTTCCACACATCTCTGTGAGAATATTCCCTGCTGCGCCTCGTGCGGCGCGCGAGGTGACGCGCTGCGCGCGCGACGACGGGCGAGGTGCGACGAAGAGATCTCATCGAGGTCATCGCCCATCCTCGTCGTCGTCGTCGACGTCATCGTCGTCGTCCGTGTCTCGTATGTCTCGCGTCAAGTGCAGACTGTGGTGTCGGTTCGCGTTCCCACCGATCGATATTCCTCCATCGCCACCTCGCCAGCCTCGCGATGGACGTCGACCGACGATCGGACGTCACATGACGCGACGAAAGCGGTGAGCTCGATCGCATCGTCGGCGCCGCGCGGGCCGCGCGCGCGCGATCGGTCGTCCTCGCGCATCGGCGGTGGTTCGTCCTCGCGCATCGGCGGTGGTTCGTCCTCGCACGGTCGCGGTCGGTCGTTCATGTGGAGCGAGACGAGTCATGACTCAGGCGTGCGTGACGTCACGTAACACCCGCCGGTTTGCTCAAATGATACCTCAGGACGGGAACGAGACGGCCAAGGCCGAAGCGAAATGCCGCGGAGACTAACGCGTGAGGCGAAAAGCTTGCGCGAATCCGGGCATGAGACGCGTCCGACTACGCTAGAAAATACGACGGGTGCGCCTCCGCTTCAAAGTCGTCACTAGTTCGACATCGTGGACTCATTCAGTGCACCCGCATCGATCGAGCGACGAAGCGATTTTATGGACTCCAGGTTACCCATGAAGGAGATTCGGCGAAGGTCTTTGAGTGACCACTTTCCCGTACCGTCAGCGGCTAGATGAAGGTGGAGCGCATGGAAGCGCTTGAGCTCAAGTCGATGCGCGATGCTGAACGCGGTGATCCCCAAGGTTTCGATGTGCGCGTATAGCAGGCCCTCCTCATCCGGGTTGATCGCACTCGTCGCCTCGTCGAGGATAGCGAACGTAGGACGGTGGAAATATAGTCTTGCCAAGCCGATGCGCTGCTTTTCTCCTCCACTCAAGACATTGGCCCAGTCGTGTTCCGATCTGCTCAGACCATCTGGACTCGCGTCCACTAGCTTGACTAGGTTTGCGAGTTGTAAGCACTCGAACACGTCGTCGTCGCATGCGGCATTGCCCGGGAGTGGGTACATAATTTGGTCTCGAAGCGTCCCAGAAACCAAATATGGGCGCTGCGGGACGTAGAAAATTGCAGCCTCGCCGTCCACTGTTGTCGCCAAACCTTGCACTGGACGCGTGATGTTCCCTGACGATGCCTGCCAAAGGCCCGCGAGGACACGGAATATCGATGTTTTCCCCGCGCCGTTGGCGCCGGTGATGAAGACGCTCTCTCCCGGTTTGATGTGCAGCGTCAAATCCTTCACCAAGAGTCTTCCATCTGGCGCGTGCACCGTGACACGATCGAAGTGCATACCATCGTCATCACCCGTGACGTGCACGGTGCTCGGCTCGGTAGAAAGCGACTCCACGCTCTCGATGAGCTCGGTGACGCGCGCGGTGAAACCAGCGAGTCTTTGTAGCTTCTTGTACACCAGCATCAAATCGCCAATCGAACCGCTCGCACTCTTGATCAGTGTGTCGTTTTCTTTGTACCTCGCGGCGATCTCGCTCGGAGTGAGGTTGGAGTAAAAGAAGGGCACCGCGAGCACAGGCCAGCCAATCATGGACGCGAAATACTTAAGCGCGTACTGGTCTACGATTCCCTGCTTGAATTGCGCGTAGTAGTAAAAGTGACTCCACGTCGTCAACTCGTGAAGAGAATTGTTCAAAATTTGTTTCTCGCGCGCGCTTCCGTCCAGGAAAGCCACTTCCTCGGCGTGCTGAATCAGTCGCGCGTGATCTCGCCTGAATTCACCCTCGCGTTTTTGCGTCTGCGCGATGTACTCGCCGAAAGGTGGCGAAAACGCGCGCACCATCGCGCCCGAGAGACCAAAGTATGTGTACAGAATGAACAATCCCGAGTATCCCATCGTCTCAGACATGCGCTTCGTGCTCAAGATGACGTCCAGCAACGGCTTGAACGTGCGCGCATACAAGTCGCTCATGGTGGAGCAAAACTGATGTAAATCCTCAGCCACGCGTTGATCCGCGTTGTCCAAATCACCGTGTCGAAGCACCGCTGCCTTGTAGTACGCGCGATGCGAGAGATACGCATCGTGCACGTACAGCGTCAACCGTTCGCGAAAACAAGTCGTGATGCTATTCGTCAGGTACTTCAACGCCGAGTTCACCACCGCTGCGGCGACGCCGGAGACAAAAAAGTCCGCCAGAACAACCTGCGCCCCGCGCCAGTCCCGCTCCATGACGCACCGCATCCCGTCGCCACCCTTCTCCGCAATCCTCAGCGAGATGAACGATCTCGACACCAACGCGAACGACTGCGTGACCAATAAGAACGCCTCCTCGCTCCGCCACGACGGAACGACGATTCCCAACAGAAACCGCAGGCGCCGAGCGAACGTCGCGTCGACCGCCGCCGCGCCGCGCCCACGCCTCACCACCGCCCCACCCTTCGCGCTCGACGTCTCGCGAACGCTCCTCGACGTCCCCACCGTCGCCTCCGATTCACCGCGCTCGCCGCGAACCGCGCCGTCCCGTCTCGGCGCGCGCGTCGCCTCGCGCACCAGCCGAAAATACATCTTCACCTCTTCCCGCGCCGCCTGCCGTCCAGCGTACGCCGCGACGCCGCTCACGGCGCACGCGAACGCCACGCACAGCGACCGCTCCTCGGTGTACGCGCGCGCGACCTGCGTGTCGTCGTCGTCCGCGAAATCTCAGTCATCGGTGTCATCATCCATCGCGCGCGCTCGCCTCCGCGCGCGCGCGCCATCGCTCTCTCTCTCGCGCGCGCACCGTGGCCGCGACGCCGAGGACGGTCGCCTCGGTCGCGCCCGCGATCGCGCGCGCGCGCGTCGTCGTCGGCGCCGTCATGCGCGGCGTCGCGCACTCGCGGGCGAACGGTCGTGATGTCCACAATGGACGCACACGGCGTCAGTACGACACCGACGCCGTGCGCGCACGACGTAAAGTTCTGTGTGTGTTTCAGGTTTTAAGGGTTGAGACGCCCCGCCGCGACCGTCGACCGCGGTCGCCGTCGCGCGCGCGCGCGGGACGCGAGACCGCCGCGCACGCGCTCGAGCGCCGCGCGCGATGACGTCCATCACCCCGCTCCTCGAATCGACGCAGAGCGGCGATCACGCGGTGCGAACGAACGCGGAATCGCAGCTCGCGAGCGCGAAGACGCGGGACGTCGGCGGATACGCCGAGGCGCTGAGCGAGGAGCTGGTCGCCGCCGACGCCACGGCGCTGTCGCGAAGAGTGGCTGGGATCGAGTTGAAGAACCTGTTCACGTCCAAGGATGATCACGAACTGTCGAGACGACGGGCGGTGTGGTTGGGATTGGACCGCGATCGACGGGAGCGGATCAAGGAGCGAGCGTGGCGGTGTTTGAGCGATGAAACGAAGGAGATCCGGAGCGTCGCGGCGCAGGTCGTCGCGAAGATCGCGGGAGCGGAGGTGCCGGCGCGCGCGTGGCCCGAACTCGTGGCGTCGTTACAACGTGGGGTGGCGAGCGGCGGCGTGGCGAAGCAGGCGAGCCTAGAGACGCTGGGGTACGTGTGCGAGGAGGTGGATTCGGATTGTTTCAGTCAAGACGACGTGAACGGGGTGCTGACCGCGGTGGTGAGTTCGATGGGATCGAGTGAACCGGACGTGAACGTGCGGCTGGCGGCGACGCGCGCTGAACAACGCCTTGGTGTTTGCGAGTGAAAATTTTGAGCGAGACCAAGAGCGAGATTTCATCATGCAGTGCGTGTGCGAGGCCACGACTTGCGCCGAAGTTCGCGTGCGCGTCGCCGCGTTCGAAGTCCTGGTCGGAATTGCGGAGAATTATTACGATTACATGGCCAACTACATCGAAGCGGTGTACGGCTTGACGGTGAAGGCGGCGAAGGAGGACACGGAGGAGGTGGGGTTGCAAGCCATCGAGTTCTGGAGCACTATTTGTGAGGAGGAGATCGGTCGCCTGGATGCGATCGAGTGCGGCGAGACGGATGTGCAGATGTTCAGCTTCATCGAAAAGGCGGTTGGGGCTTTGGTTCCCATGCTCCTCGAGCAACTTACGAAGCAGGAGGAGGACCAGGACGAGGATGAAAATGCGTGGAACATGGCCATGGCGGGCGGCTCGTGCCTCAGTCTCATCGCCCAACTCGTGCGCGACCCGGTGGTGGATCACGTCATGGGTTACATCCAGGCTAACATCTCGTCCTCGGAGTGGCGCAACCGTGAGGCGTCGACGTTCGCATTTGGAGCCATCATGGAGGGTCCGGATCCGGCGCGTCTTGCGCCGCTCGCCTCCGAGGCGCTCCCGTTCCTCGTGCAAGCGCTCCGAGACAGCAGTACGCATGTCAGGGATACGACGGCTTGGACGATTGGACGCGTTTTCGAATTCGTGCACTCGAACGAGCACCCGATGGTGAACTCGCAAACGTTCTCGCAAGTCTTGCAGGCGATGATGGAGTCGCTCAAGGACGTGCCGCACGTCGCTGGCAAGGTGTGCTGGAGTATTCAAAACCTCGTCTCGGCGATCTCCCAGGACGACGCCGGTCGACAGGCGCTCGTGCCGTATTTCCAAGGTATCATTCAGCAGCTTTTGATAGCGAGCGAGCGCGCAGATGCCGAGGTCATGCTAAAGATGGAGTGCTACGAGGCGATGAATGAAATTCTTCGTTCGTCGACGATTGAAAACCACCCGACAGTCGGTCAACTCATTCCCCACGTCCTTCAAAAGCTTGGCGCGACGTTCACAGATCAACCGCAGAGCGCGGATATGCAAGAGAAGCAGGCGGATCAGCAAGCGCTGCTCTGCGGTACGCTCCAGGTGCTCATTCAAGTATTGAGCTCATCCACAGATGAGATAAAGGCGCAGACGCTCCTGCCACACGCGGACAACTTGATGCAGGCTTTCCTCGCCGTGTTCAACTGCCGTTCATCTACGGTGCACGAGGAAGCTATTCTCGCCGTCGGTGCTTTAGCCTACGCCGTCGGGGAGCACTTCGACAAGTACATGACCGCCTTTGTGCCGACCATCAAGCGCGGTTTAGAAAATCACGAGGAGCACCAGGTGTGCGCCGTCACAGTGGGCGTCGTCGGCGACATTTGCAGAGCCCTGGACGCGAAGATCGAGCCGTACTGCGAGGGCATCGTCTCCTTGCTTCTTCATAACTTGGGCAGCGAGAAACTGCACCGAAGCGTGAAGCCACCGATTCTTTCGTGCTTCGGCGACCTCGCCTTGGCCACGGGTCCGAGCTTTGAGAGATATCTCCCGCACGTCGTCAGTATGTTGCACGGCGCGACGCAGCTATCCATGTCCACCAATCCCGACGATGAGGACATGATCGATTACAATAACGACCTTCGAAACGGTATCTTCGAGGCGTACGCGGGTATTCTTCAAGGTTTCAAGGCGGACACGTCGAAGCTTGCCGCGGTGCAAGAGCACGTCCCCTTCGTCCTTCAGTTCATCGAGAGCGTATCCATGGACGCCAACCGCGACGAAATCGTCACTCGCTCTATGGTCGGTGTCTTGGGCGACATCGCCGCCACAATCTCGGGCGTCGGCCCGGTGTTCGCGCAGCGTCCCTTCTACAAGGATTTCCTCCGCCGGTGCGCGTCCGACCAAGACGACAAGCTCAGGGAAACCGCGCAGTGGGCCATGAGCGCCATCACGCAGGCGCTCCAGCGATGACGAAAACACGATCGCGATCGCTTAGCACTTCACGATTGAAAATACGATCAACGAAACGAATCGAACGACATTCATCACACCTCACTTCTCGCCTCTCGCTCGCCATGCCGCGCGGCGGACGCGGGTCAGGCGGACGCGGTTCCGCCCCCAAGGTCCGCCCCGTCACCGAACTCGCGCGCATAGACATCGCCAAAGCCCTGGAGGATTTCAGAGCCGATCCGAACGCGAGCGAATTGGAGTTCCCACCGAACGTGGACAATCACTTCAGAGCCGTCGTGCACGCGGAGTGCAAGAAGCTCGGGTTGAAATCAAAGTCCCACGGCAAGGGCGACGACCGACGCGTGCGCGTGACGAAGGCCGAAGCGTTTAGGCCCGATGACGCGGAGGATCTGTTCGATCTCGGGCTCGGCGCGCGCGCGGCGGCGGCGATGGAGGAATACTTTGAAAAGGCGCCGCAGAGCGAAGCGGAGATCCGGCGGAGCGTCGCGGGTTCCGTCGGTGATTTCGACGGCGATGGCGAGCGTGAAGCGCGTGTGAAGACGAAGAAGCGGTCGTACAAGGGTGGGGTGGAGATGCGGGGGAGAGCGATCGATGCGGGTGAGGCGACGCGGAGGGCGGATGCGTTGGCGGGGAGAATACGGAGCGACGCGGCGTTGGGGGAGTTGCAAAAGAAGCGCGCGGCGCTGCCGGTGGCGAAGTTTCGGGATGATATATTGAATGCAGTGAGGAATCATCAAGTCACCCTCGTCGCGGGGTCCACGGGGTGCGGGAAGACGACGCAGGTTCCGCAGTACTTGTTGGACGACGCGTGGGCGAGCGGAAGCGGCGCGGCCATCGTGTGCACGCAGCCGAGGAGAATCAGCGCCATGACAGTGTCAGAGAGAATCGCGAACGAACGCGGGGAGAGTATAGGGCAAAGCACGGTGGGTTATCAGATTCGTTTGGAGAGTCGAGTCGCGGCGGACTGTTCGTTGTTGTTTTGCACGTCGGGCGTCTTGCTGAGGAAACTCACAAGCGAGACTTCGGATAAGACGTGTGAGGCGCTGACGCACATCATCATCGATGAATTACACGAGCGCGATCTTTTTGCCGATTTCTTGACCATCATCCTGAGGCAAGTATTGCCGAAGCACCCGCATCTGAAGCTCGTGCTCATGTCTGCGACTATGCGGGAGGATTTGTTTAGCAATTACTTTGGGGGATGTCCTGTGATCTCCGTTCCCGGTTTCATTCATCCCGTGACGGAGTATCACTTGGAAGATATCTTGCCAATGGTTGGTTGGGGTGGGACTCATCACACCGCGGTTGGGGCGAAGAAGAGCGATGGACCCATTGTGAACGCGCCGACGTCGGGCTCCGGCGTGGATGTCATGCGCGAGGCCATCATGCGCGCCTTCTTAGAGGATACCGACGAATCGTTCGATTGGTTGATGCAGTGCGCGCGAGAAAGCGATCCACAAGGTCTATCGTACGTCAACGTGTGTCATTCCACCGGCGCGACCGCGCTCATGGCGGCTGCGGGTAAGGGGCGACAGATGGAAGTGTCCCAGCTCCTCGGACTCGGCGCGTCGCCAGCGATGCGAAGCTCGGATGGGAGCAACGCTGCCGATTGGGCCGAGAGATTTGGCCACATCGAGCTCGCGGAGGCGCTCAGAAGCGTAGACGATGAGGATGATCACGCCGGGAGTCATGAGCAATCAGCGCTCCTCCTCAGCAATTATCAACTCTCCATCGACCCGGACGAGGTGGACATTGATTTGATACATAATCTCATCGTGTGGATCGTGCGCGAGCGCACCGTGGATGAGAAGTCGGAGGGTGCCATTTTAGTATTTCTTCCAGGATGGGACGAAATATCCAAGCTCCGCGACTCCCTGAGCGCTGATTACAACGTGTGCCGTGCAGCAAGCATCCTGCCCTTGCACTCGATGGTCGCTCCGGCGGAACAGCGAAAGGTGTTTCAGCGCCCAGCCAAGGGCATGCGAAAGATCGTTCTTTCAACGAATATCGCCGAGACGGCAGTGACAATCGATGACGTCGTGTTCGTGATCGATAGTGGTCGACTCAAGGAGAAGAGCTACGATGCCTACTCGGCTGTTTCGACGCTGCAAGCGGCATGGATTTCTCAGGCGAGCGCGAAGCAGAGGCGCGGTCGAGCTGGTCGCGTTCGCCCGGGTGAGTGCTTCAGGGTCTATTCGTCCTCACGTTACAGCTCGTTCGCGGAGTATCAGCTCCCCGAGATGCAGCGTTCGCCGCTCGAGGAACTCTGTTTGCAAGTGCGCGTGTTGGCAGAGAGCGGTGCCGGTGTCGTCGAAGACGGTCCCGGAAGCACTGCCGGTTTTCTCGCTCGCGCAATCGAACCTCCGGTGCCTCAGGCGACGGAAAACGCGGTGCAATTGCTCAAGGACATTGGAGCGCTCACAAACGACGAGCGATTGACCCGACTCGGTCGTCACCTCGGCGAGCTTCCATTACATCCGCGCGTCGGCAAGATGATTTTGTACGCCGCGCTCTTTGGAGTCCTAGATCCGATTCTCACCGTGGCTTGCGCGGCGGCGTACCGCCCCCCGTTCATAATCTCTACCGATGGAAGGCGAACGGGTGACATCGCGCGCGCGGCGTTCTCCGATCAAGCCGGCGGCGGAAGCGACCAGCTCGCTGTGACCAAGGCGTATGAGGCATGGGAACGCGTGTTGCGAGACGGCGGTCGTTCAGGAGAGAGAATGTTCCTGAACGCCAACTCGCTTTCGCCTTCGACGCTACACATGATCAAGGGTATGAGACAGCAGCTCGTTCAAGCGTTGATTCAGCGCGGCATCATCTCCGACCTGCGGAGCGCGAGCGTGAACTCGCAGTCAGGGGCACTCGTTCGAGCGGTGCTCGCTGTCGGCATGTACCCACTCGTGGGGAGATTTTTACCGCAGTGCAAGGCGCCAACGTTAGCGACACTGCGAGGTGAGCGCGTTCGCGTGCACGCGCATAGTGTCAACGGAAAGGTCGACGTCGCGGAGATCTCATCGAGACGAGAGAGCGGCGAAAAGATCGCCACGCTCTGCTGCTTTGACGAGCTCATTCGAGGCTCGCACGCGGTGCAGGTTCGAGAGTGCACTCTCGTCGCCGCAGCTGCAATCGTGTTTGTTTGCGCCAAACTTACCGTGCGACCGGACGTCCCGCACGTCGATCCGGAGACCGGGGAGGAGATTCCGAGACCCGGACCGCCTTCGGCGCTCCTCGTCGTCGACGACTGGTTGAGATTTCGCGTGCCGTTACGCGCGGTGGCCCAGATCACCGTCCTCCGTTTACGCTTGCAAAATGCGTTCGCGATGAAGGTTGAGCATCCGCAAGAGATGCTCCCGAAGGACATCCACGAATCGGTACGATGCGTTTCTCGAGTGCTCGCGGACGCCGCGGATGAACTCCTGAACCGGCACGGCGGCGGCGGCGTGTCCTTCGCGCGAAACGTCGGCGGTGGCGACTACGGCGGTGGACGCGGTGGACGCGGTGGCGGACGCGGTGGACGCGGACGCGGAGACGGCCGTTTCGACGGACGCGGCGGCGGACGCGGCGGCGATAGAGGCCGAGGCGTCTCCAACATACCGCAACCGCGACGCTAAAACGTGAATGTGATGACCCGAACGCAATTAGAGTCACCACCAATCACTCGATCGCACGAATCGACGCGCGCGAACCGACGCGTCAACGTTCACTCATCCACCCTCGATCGCGACGCGCGTCTACGCGCGCGTCATCGACGCCGTCGACCGAACGCGCGCGTCGCGTGCACCCAAATTCCCACCCGTAAGTCCCATTATTTTCATATCCCTCTTCAAATCGCATATATTCCCCAACACGTCATCACGTATATTAACTGTCCCGAGGCGGACGTACGCGAAGCCTATACGCTGCCTTTTACCGCATATAGCTCTGCGTTCACCTCACTCAAAGGGACGTTCATCTAATTTTTCTCGAACGTGTTGTTCACAACAAAAACCCCTACACACACACGTTTCGTCCGTGTCGTTGGCGCCACACGTGTTTGTGTTTCTTCTCCCGCACGCCATCGACCCCGCCTCGACCGCCCACGCGCGTCGACCGCGCGACCGCGACGAGCGCGAGCTCGACCGCGAGCGCGAACTCGACCGCGTCGACGCCGTCGTCGACGCCGACGCCGAGACGCGCGACCGAGCGACGCACACACACACAACCTCGTGGCGCGCCAACGCCCCGAGCAATGGCGAGTGGCGCGCACGCCGGTCTCACCCTGGAATAAATTGTTCCGTCGTTCGCCCCGTTAGGCGACGAACGAAGCGATTACGTACGCGCGAAGTGCAAGGCGCGACGACCTCGCCCGACGCTGCCCCTTCGTGATCAGGCAGGCGTCCCGGACAGGTAAGTATGCGCACCATACCCACACACCGCGGTTCATATACCCCGAAATTCACAGCACGCACTCATCGCGCTTACGGGCGCGTCGAGACCCCCACCCCCCGCGCGCGCCCCCGCCGCCCCCCCGCGCGCGCGTCGCCCCCCCGCGCGCGCCCCAGTCGCGCCCGTCCAACGCGCGCGCCCCCGACGCCGACCTAAACCCGGCGCGCGCGCG